CTCTTCAGTAATGGATATTTTGCATTTCCTGCTTCAGTATAAAGGGAAAAATAGTGTTTCTCTGCTTTTTGAGAGATATATATTCGCAGATGCTGATGACATTCAGAAGATTGATAGCAGATACTTTTACACAGAAAACATTCTTTTGACTCCACTGCAGTGTGAGCCTGATTATAATCTATAACCTTAGAAGCGTTTGTAAGATTTTTGAGGTAGGAATGACATTTGCATGAACTTTTTCCAGACTTAATATTATTTCTTGAGAATGCAGGCTGATATTTGCTAATTTTGACACTCTGATCACAGTCAACAGGTTTGTCCTCTTCTTGTATGCTTTAAGGAAGTATAAGTTTGAAAAATAATTTTTTCCAGTAAAAGACCTTCATACAGTTCATGACATATAAGCTCAGAGCTTCATGTTAAGTATTTTCCCCATAATTTTATTGAGAAATAGCAATGAGACAGTTTCAAATCAAATTGGTAGGACAGTTCCAATAATTGACATGTTGCGTACTGCCTTCCTAGTGGTTATTTGTTATACAAGATGCAGACATGATATCCTATTTACAGATACTATCAGAACAAATCAGTCTATTCCTTGCATTAAGAGAATGTAGCTATATATCTATCTAACCATTTTGAATATACAGAAACAAAATGGACCTTCATCTCTATCCTCTTGTTTAGTTCCATCATTTAAATATTGTAGGTTTGTGAACTCAGCAAAATATTCCAAAATAGTCCAGTAGTCCATAATAGTACTGGGACTTCCATTTGACTGGTAGTGTCAGAAATTGTTTGACCTGTGTCCGCTACAGCTCAACCTAACACCATGGCTTTACTTCTGATACTTCATTTTTATACTTTTCTGCGAGATGGTTAAGATCAAGATAAAGCAAGACCTATGCAGCAAGAGTTGTAGCTTTTGGGTCTGATAAGGACAGTGAAATCCCCTCAGCATTTATCCTGAGATCCTGTACCTCAGATTGTAGATCCTTTGTCAGTATCAGCCATGTGGATGAGTCACGGCCATTGCTTGGCCAATGTGCTCTCTGTGAAAGCCTGAGAGAATGTTTTCTCTCCATGTGACTCTCCTTAGGCACACTCTACATCATCGATCACTTTCCTCTTGGCTCCATATTCTCCTTGATCAGAAAATTTGGGACACAATTGAGTTACATGACATTTTAGTACAAGTTCTCATATGTCCTGAGTCTTAATTGACCTTGGAAGGCTAGGGCTAAAATGTTGACTTTCCTTGCACCCCTTCATTTTCTTGAATTATTGGTCTGCAAACTTAGGCTGTTAACTCTCCAGAAGAGAAACTAAAAAATAGGAATAAAGAATTATATATGTTTACACATAACTTTAGAAATCTAACTATATACAGCATTAGCTCAGGACAGTTCCACAACACTCCTTTTCCTGTCTCCTGCCTTCACTCATCACTCCCTTCCTTTTTAAACAAACATCTACCTGAGAGATAGCACTGCAGCAACTGGCGTATCATGACAAGCAGTACGTATTCAGAAGACCAGGATATCAGGCACTCTAAGCATGAACCTACTATTACAAATTGCCATCGTCAGTGCAGTTGCTTAGTTCACAGATATCAGCATATATACTTAGTCAGGGTGGGAGTCCTTCCAATGAACTGCTAGATTCAAAAATCTTCTGAAGATCCTCAGGATCATGGCCTTGCTAATCTCGTATATATAACTGCATGGCTTGCCTCTGTCACGCTTCCTAGCTCCTCTCCTTGCTCTCTCTTCATTGTCTCGTCCTCAAGCTCTTGCTTTCCTTTTAATTGTTTTATACTTATTTGTATTTCTTCTTGTAAAATATTTCTTAAATAGAAAATATTTTTGTGGTCTTTCCTGACTGTAAGTCAAACTCTGCCTGAGTGAATGATAGGGGAGACCGTATTTTGAAGTTAGTAATAGGAAAGATTTGAGTTTTCATTAATTATACTTTTGTCTCTTTATGTATAAAAACTCCCTAAGGCATTTTACATTTGAACATTGTAGGACACTGATTGATTCTGTGAATTAGTTAATACTACATGAAGTCTGAAGTGTCATCAGACTCTCTTAATTTATTTTCATTGAACGTCTGATGAACTCACCGATTTTGGAAGTAAATCAACTATTGTTTTTAATAAGTGATACAGCATCACATACTACTTACACTGAACATTCATTCTAGATTACTTAATGCATAATACAATTGAGTGATCTTATTTTTACTTGTTTCTTTTTTGATATGTTAAACTTTAAATCCCTATGGAATGTGAAATAAAAAAAGGAAAACAATAAATAAAAGAAATTTTAGAATAGGAATAAACAATTACTTATATTTACACACATAATAAGATATCCAACCACATACAGCATTAGAGCAGGAGAGTCCAACGACTTCTTTTTCTTGTCTCTTCTTCTCATTTATTATCCTTAAAACAAACAAACAAAAAAACATTTACTTGAGAGGCAGTATAGCAGTGATTGGTATGACATGACAGGCAGTATGTATTTAGAAGACCAGAGTGACAGGCATTCCAAGCATGACTCAAGTGCTCCACAGTGCTGTCTTCAGTGCAGGAGCTTCGTTCACAGGTGTCAGTATACATAGTTAGTCAGAGTGAGACTCCTTCCAATTAACTGCTAGTTTAAAAAACTTGGTGAGGATTCTCACGATCATTGTCTTAACCATCTTGTGCATACAAATGTATTGCTTTTCCCATGTCATATTCCTGAGCTTTTCTCTCTGCCTGCTCTTTCTTCTTTAATGATTGAATTCTCACTTTCCTCTTAATGTTCTTATACCTTTCAATTGTTATTTCGTCTTTTGAGTTCTTACACAAGGGTGACTCTATGATATTTACAAATGTTTGTTTGGTTAATTTCACTTATGAGTATATCTTCAGGTGGCATCCATTTAAATATAAAGGCTTTGAGTTTAACATTTCTTATAGCTGAGTAATACTCCACTGTATAAAACATTCCTCAGGTGACAGGCATTTTGATTGTTTCCAAGATATGGCAACATACATTGCACTGCTATAAATATATGTGCACAGATCCCCAGGCCCTGCGACTGTGGGGGAGAGCTTTTGCTCTGTTCTGCACCCACCCACCGCTCCAAGCTTAGGCCTGCCACATGAGAGAGGCCTTTTCCAGAGTTCTCCAGACCTCTCCCGCTGGGCCAGACCCAGCACAGCCCGCCCTCTGAGTGAGAACATCTGCCGTTCCTTTGGCCCTCTCCATATTGAACCAACCCAAGGCCCTGCAAGTGTGGGGGAGAGGTTCTGCTCTGTCGTATGCTGGCCCTGCCACTCCAAGCCCAGGCCTGCTGCATGATAGAGGTCTTTCCCTGCACTCTCCAGACCTCCCCTGCCCATCCAGAGCCAGCACAGACCATACTGTAGTGAGAACCTCTGCCGTGCTCTTGGCAGTCCTGCAGGCCCACCAAAGCACAGTCCCGGTGAGTGTTTGGGAGAGCTTCCGTGATTTCTTGACCCCCTCCTCATACCCCGCCAGACCCAGCCCAGACCTAGCATACAGGCTTGAGGGAAAACCCTGCAGCTAAAGTCGCTGCAGTGAGACGAGGGTCAAAACCACACAGCTACTCCAGGAACAGAACATCTTATCAGAGGGGTACAACAGGCCCACCTCCAAGGGCAACAACAGTAGGGAGCCGAACACAGTGGCCAGAACCAAGCCAGGCACAACTGCGTGAATGAGAACTTGGTATATCAGTACCCGAATTTCATTCAGTGATAAGGATATAATTGCACCAAAGCTCTACACCAAAGTTCAGAGGTCAGTGTTATACAAAATGATAAAGACTAGGAGCAAAATGCAATTTTAGCCCTCGAGCCCACCTTAACAAGTGCAGAGGACACTAGCACAGATGCAATAAATAAATCAATAGCATTGGAAGTAAATCAACAACAACAGAAAGATATAGAGAAACGCAGAGCAGAACTTGTCTCTGGATCAAAAAGAAAACAAAACTCTGAATTCATAGCATCTGAACTTAAGAATTCAATGCAGAAACATATGGAGGAAACACAGTGCCCACCCAGAACAAATGCAGTGGACACTAGTTTAGCTGAAATGTATGAATTAGTAGTGTTGGAAGGAAATAAGCAACTGCAAAAAGGTTTAAAGAAACTCAAAGCAGAATTAGTGTCTGAAATGAAAAAAGAAATCTCCAAATTCATAGCACCTGAACTAAAGAATCAAATACAGAAACATATGGAGGAAACCCAAACTGTAAAAAACTCTACAGAAAAAGAATTAATATAATGGTGTTTGTAAGTAGGATCACAAGTCTGCATCTTGTACAGCAATTAACCACTGAGAAGAATGTATGCAGTGTATTATTTGTTGAAACTGTACTTTCGATTTGATTTGAAACTGTCTCATTGCTAT